GGAAAGCTTTGGCAGTCAAGGAAATTAGTTTTATTTTTTAATCGCAATAAACATCCCCTCAAAATGTATACTTATCCCCCCTAGAAATGTAATTTTAACCTGATCATATTACACCGGCTATTCCTAAGATGCAATGCAAACACTTCGTTAATATTTGATGTTAATAATCAAAAAGTGCCAAAACAAGAGCTATTATCGACACCATGCGAAACAAAATAAAAATTTGACATGTTAGGGGAGAAAAAAAAATGACATTTTAGGGGGCATATCATAGGTTTACATAAAACTAGTAAGTACAAAAACCGTAGTTTTTGACATTCAATTTTGCTTAAAAGAAGTCAATCTAAGTCTATAGAGAAGGTCAGATCGATTACTGGGTTGGCGTTAGTTACACTCAGGACACTAAAAATTGCCAAGATGCAGGTGATTGTTAAAAATCCCAAAAATGCAATTAAAAAACATGCAATTTGCACCAAGGTTGGATGAAATTCACATTGAATCCATTTTCCTTTTGTGCCAATGATAGTTCTATAACTAGATATCTAACTACAGGTGTAAATTTTGTTGGGACTGGAAGTTACTGTTTTGCCGTAAGTTCTGGGTATTCAAAAAAAGTCCCAAAAAGTCACAAAAAGTAAATTGACTAAATTCCGCATTTTTTCTTCAACAGAGAGAGAAATCTGGTCGACCACTCAGAAATAGGTTAATGAGTCCCAGAAGTGGCTTTAAATTAAATTAATTGGAGCAACATTCTGCGGCTACACAACCTGTTTTAGCTGGAGTTTTAGGGTGGTTGCACGTGACATTTTAGGGGGTGATTACGGGTTTTGAGGTACTTCCTTAGTGAGTGAATGTTTTCAAGTAGTAGCTTTATGTTTTAATAAGACAAAACAAATAGTACTAGAGACAAAAAGATACATCAGGCCTCCTGTACATTTTGTAATTATGGACACATATGGAGTTTACATTTTAGGGGTGGTGTTTTAAAAGTGATTCCATTCAACGTCAAAAAAATTGTACCTGATTTTATTTTCAAATTCCAAAATCTTCCTGTCAGGCTAGAAAGGTTTCAACTATATTCCAAGACATTCAGAACCCTGTAAATTTAGCCCTAACTCGCAATCTGGGCAAAAAAACAGGAGACGTTTTAGGGGGGTTTACCCGTACTATTAAAATAAAAATTAATGGAACTATTGGCTCTGTTTATTCTCCGAAATTTATAGCATTAGAAACCAGGCAGCAGCTAAACAGAGCGGTATTTGGAAACTGTTTATCTGTTAGTTATTTCTAGTGACGATTGCCATCTGGGTTCAGTTATCGTTTCAAAGTTTCAAAGTTAATTAGGTAGACTATTGCTTGGTATAAAAGCTATTCCTAAGCTACCCTGTCTGGCTGTCTACTTCTAGGAAAGTATAAATTGTGTTCATTTATCCGGTAGCTAGCAAACCGTGCAGTTTTGTAATACCTTTAGTTCAGCTTTTTATAAGTGGAGGAGGGAGAGGAAGAGGGAGAGGGAGAGGAGAAGGAGAGGGAGAGGGAGAGGGAGATGGGAGCGGGAGCGGGAGAGGGGAGGGAGGAGGTGAGAGGGAGAGGGAGAGGGGAGGGAGAGGGGAGAGGGAAGTGGGAGGGTGAGAGTGAGAGGGAAGAGGGAGAGGGAGGGGAGGGGGAAGAGGGAGAAGGAGAGGGAAGAGGGAGAGGGAGAGGGAGAGGAGAAGGGAGAGGGGAGAGGTGAGAGAGGGAGAGGTGAGAGGGAGAGGGAGAGGGAGAGGAGAGGGAGAGGGAGAGGAGAGGGAGAGGGAGAGGTAGAGGGAAGAGGAGAGGGAGCGGGAGAAGAGGGGAGAGGGAGAGGAGAGGGAGAGGGAGAGGGAGAAGGGGAGGGAGCCGGAGAGGGGAGGGAGATGGAGAGGGAGAGGAAGAGAGGAGAGGGAGAGGGAGAGGGAGAGGCGGAGAAGAGGGAGAGGGCGAGGGAGCGGGAGAGGGAGAGGGAGAGGGGAGAGGGAGAGGGAGCGGGAGAGGGAGAAGGGGAGAGGGAGAGGGAGAGGGAGAGGGGAGGGAGAGGGAGAGGAGGAGGGAGAGGGAGAGGGAGAGGGAGAGGGAGAGGGGAGGGAGAGGGAGAGGGAGAGGGAGAGGGAGAGGGGAGGGAGAGGGAGAGGGAGCGGGGAGAAGGCGAGAGGGAGAGGGAGGGAGAGGGAGAGGGAGAGGGAGAGGGAGAGGGAGACGAGGGAGAGGGAGAGGGAGAGGAAGAGGGAGAGGAGAGGGAGGAGGGAGAGGGAGGGGAGAGGGAGAGGGAGAGGGAGAGGGAGAGGGAGAGGGAACTAATAGTATTTTGTCCACCTGGTTCAACCGTGGTTAAACCATACAAGATGCAGGTGCGGAGCTGTCCTTTTCCAATACTAGTACCAAACATTTATTTAAAGATTTAGACAATGAAACTAGTCAGTGTAATAAGCGCAAGCGCGAGCACAGAACTTTTTTTCTCCGATTTCCGATAAATTTGGTACCAAAATTTGTCTAAAATGTGAATAAAAGAAATCACGTGTAGCATTTTCGGAAAAAAATGCTACACGGCGTTGTTCGCCGCGCGCGTTTTTTTTCGCGCAAATTTTAGTTTTTGCCTATACTTTCAATTTTCAGTTATTATCACATAATTATTATTGGCATCGTAATCAGGGCTCATCGAGACGAAACTTTTAGTACTAATATTTTAGATATAATGGAAAAATTATTTTCAAATTTTACAAATTGAACACAAGGGGTCCCCCTTGTGTAAATTATGAACATTTTTGAAAAATTGGTGCTTCAAAAATTATAATTTTGGTACCCAAGTTGCGTCTGCTAATGTCATTACGATCTGTAATAAATATTTCAAAATATTCAATATTTTAGGGTTATAGGCATTTTAAGCAATAAATTTACCCATTTTTCGTCCTTTGTACATTTTTGTAATGCACAGGAGGGCCCACATATAGCCTCGACGTTATTTTGCTACACGGTGATTTGCATTATTCACACTTAGAGGCATACTTTTGGTAACAAATTTAATCAAAATCAGAGACATAAAAAATCTGTGCCAAACCCATGGCGCTTATTACTAGACTAACACAGCGAGCTTTCGAAGGATTTCTACGTTTTTAGTTATTTAGCTTATAGGTATCACAATGGGTGTCCTAAGTGACTGCGTTAAAAAGCTTCCATAATCCATTTTCGTTGAAGGGCACCCTAGAAAGGCATCTCGTAATAAATTTTTCTTCTTTTTGTCACCCACCTGTCAGTCACTTTCTTCATATGCTCAATTTGTATCTCAAAACCATTACATGTATATCCCGTATAAACATAACGCGAAACTGGTGACAGCTTTATCAGATCTATCAAGTAAGGTTGGCCAGTTGCCAACAATGTTAAGGATGTTGGTTGCGTTTCCGGGACTACCATGTTTTACGCAACTATGTTAAATCATTCTTTCCAGAAAATTTTATTGGGGCTTTGCCTTTAGTCATTACTGTGTATTCTTTGAATTCTACGACGGTTTTTTGTTTTTTAATTTAGCGTTTGTCATATGAATTTGGAATCTCCAGGCTTTCTGGAATCTTAAGTTTTTATAATGTATAGTAGTACGTGCTAAACCACTTTACAATCGATCTTCGTGTTTTTTCTTAAAAGGCCCCGCCAGTTTTGGAAAACAACTTGAGTTGATGTATTTTCGGACGTGATTCCGAATCGGGCTACCGGACAATCATGAAACCCAGATGAGGCAAAAAAGTTGGCCCAATTTCCGCCCCTCAGCTGCATATACTCATATAGTCTAACTGCACTGGCACTGCAAATAACTTAGCTGTTATAGATGGAAAACTAGTACACACTTATCAAAGAAATATCTTCAAACATTGTCAAAATTATCATTTTTCTGGGCAACGAGCAAAGAGGCACAAACGTTGGCCCCTTTTTGCCCCACCTGCCAAGGTTAAAAACATTTTGTTGTCACTAAGCTTTTTTATTGAGTAAAATCAAGCTATGTTTAAAACGAACTGTGTTAATTGTGTCATCATTTCAAATTAGCAGGGTGGATCTGGTAAGACAATCATCCACACTCTTAGTGTGCATTCTTCCTGGAAAGTGCGGCAACCGATCTGACCTTTCAATTGTGGAATGAAGGGAAAGAAAGGTTCTATACTGTGGTAGATGCTCACTGCCAGGGAGGAGTAATTTCTTCGTGTCACCTCACAGCATTATTATGAAGAAGGTCGAGACATGTACCGAGGAGCAAACCTATATAAAGTACAAACTGATAAACGATTCATTCTCAAGGGAAAACTTCCTACAACCAAGCAGATCAGTTTGTTCTATGTTGGGCCAAGAGATGTAATTTCCATCAAGCTTTCCTGCGCATGAGTATAAAATAACACTTATACCCAATAGTATCAAACGCCGTTTTATTTGTTCTTCTACTACGACAACATCTACTACCACAACAATTTTCAGTTGACCGTATGGGGCGATCAACACTGCGAACCCAACAGCAGCAATTTCATTTGAATCGATACCATTACTGCACTGATGATGCCAGACAAGGAAATGCTCGGAACTCATTAAAATGCAACTTAAATGCAAGGAAGCATAGGGAAAAAGCAAATCATAAAAAACCCTGGCGAGGTAAGAGGACCATAGCTGGAGAGCGATGCCGCAGCAAACATTATCAGTGAGCTATAAGACAATGGGCCAAATGCAGGACAAATAATTGCGATAGACGCGCATAATTATGACCAAGATGGATGGTCGATCTTCTCTGCGTGGTGGAAACTGGGTCACCTCCCTGAGTTCGGAGACTTAAAAGGATATATGTGGAGGAGGGAATAAATAATCCGTGACTCCTTGGAAAGAACAGGCAATCAAAGCAAAGAGAAGTAATGATCTGGTATGACGTTTCCATAACAGATATAATCGAATCACGCTTTATTTTCCTTGAGAACAGTGCCATTAGTCGATTTGCTGTTCTTCGGTGAATGATAATCAAAAGCTATGATTTGTTTCGTTGTTCTTTGTGCACTGTCGATAGTGCAGTCTGCAGCATTTGACGAGAGGCAACCTAATATCATTTACATCCTGAGCGATGACCTGGGACATGCAGACGTCGGTTTTACTGGAGGGAGAATCAAAACACCAAACTTGGATAAACTGGCAAAGGAAGGTAGGGACTCAGAAAAACATGCACATTCAACCCCAGATCCAATCTCTAACAAATTCAAACAAATCTAATAATATCATGATAAACAAAAGTGGTTTAAATTTACATCATGTATAAAACGATAGCTCGATTTGACGAGCTGTAAAATTACAGGTGTGCTCCTAAAACAGCACTACGTCCAGCCGATTTGTTCTCCAACTCGAAGTGCCCTAATGTCAGGCAGGTATCCAATACACACAGGATTTCAACATAGCGTCATCCATCCCGGGGAACCCTGGGGTCTTCATCTGGACGAGACCATCATCCCTCAGATACTTAAGGAGTATAACTACTCAACTCATGCTGTGGGAAAGTGGCATCTTGGTATGCACACATGGTCCTACACCCCTGCACATCGTGGGTTCGATGACTTCTTTGGGTACTATCTGGGAAGTCAGGACTACAACACCCACATAAGGGGCGGAGGATATGATCTGAGAGACGATTACTGGACTAAGAAAGGCAAGTTCGTTGACGATGTGAGATACGATCTGAAGGGACAGTACAGCACGGAGCTTTACACTCAGCGGATGGTAGATCTGATCTCTGACAAGAAGGCTCAAAAGAACCCCTTCTTTATTTATATGGCTTATCAGAACGTACACGCTCCTCATATGGTCCCTCAACGGTACATAGACCAGTATTCGACCCATATAAAAGATGGACAGGAAAAAACCTTCGCAGCGATGGTCAGTGCAATGGACGAAGGGATAGGAAACATAACCGCAGCACTGGAAGCAGCAGGTTTGGCTGAAGTAAGAGATATTTACCCTCTGTAGCACACATTTTGCTATTGCACACATTTTCCGACACTTGTAAAAATTTCACGGATTTTCGACACTTGTAAAAATTTCACGGATTTTCGACACTTGTAAAAATTTCACGGATTTTCGATACTTGTAAAAATTTCGAGCATTTTCGACACTTGTAAAAATTTCGAGGATTTTCCGACACTTACTTGCTGTACATAGTTATTCGGTTACCAGAGCTTTCAGATTAGAGTTACTCTATCTTAAAGAGAATAGAATTTTAAGAGCAAGGATTTTTGAAAACACTCTTGTTTTTAATCGAGTACCCAATTTAAAAGTAGGTAAAAATTATGTTGTAGTAGGGTGGTTAACAGCAAGCAACCATATTATAGAGGTGAATGATATGAGCTAATATGCAAGAGATCCGTGATTTATCAATTGAAGATCTGCGCACAAAGCTGAAAGAGCAAAAACTCTGTTATGGTTATGAGGTTCTAACAATTTGTGAACGTCGTCGCAAAAAGTTTGAAAAGCGATTGTTCTTACACATGCAAGGAAAAGAAGCACCCACCCTTCATAAATGTGCTGATAATAGGAGTGAATACTTTTTGCTTGATATAGAACTTCCACAGACATGGTATCCAGGAACATCAATACTGAAAAAGACATCAACTAAAAAAACTAAGAAGTCTGTCCGATTTAAGCAAACGGAAATATTTGGAAATGAACCCATCTACCCATACTGTGTTACAAAGTACAATCATAACACTAAAAGCCAACACCTACATGCACCACAATGTTCTAATGCTGTTGCAGAAACGATCGAGGTGTTGGGCCAATACAGATGGATGAATAGAAAGTTTTTGATTGAAGGGAGGCATGATATATAAGAACTTAGAGTTCCAACCTTAACTGGTTGAAGATGCAGACCAGCTCACAATATTTCCAAGAGTTCTATGTCAACTCACCATCAGAATTTCTGAGTTTCCAATGTCTCTTAGAGTCTTAGGTCAACAGAATCAACAACAATTTTAATCTCTCCAATTTGATCGATAAGATATTTCAAGTGCAACTCATCAAAACTATATAATTCCTTTGTTCGATCAACAGGTTTTGATATGTCATCCTTTGTACCCATACAGATGCAATCATGACTCGGCTCAGTTTTCAACTTGGATTTTACTCACCGATCTAGAAGATCGGACTTTGCTACTAAGGTTTAAGAGTTGCATCTCGTAAACTTTCCTGGTAGTATCGGTTATAGGTCTAGGTTGAGTGTCATATTCTCTTATGATAAATACTCGAAACTAAAGAGAGTGAATGTGATCGGGCTAATTCAAAACTTATTTATCGAGGTAAATTATATTTCTTCAAAGAACAGACTAATTCATAACCACACGACACCCCAAAGAAATATTTGCTTACCATGCCACAGCTTTTAACCAATGTCCCCAGTATCATCAGGAACAATCTCGATCAAAACCACCCTGTTAAACATGAACGGAGGTTTGGAGATGGGTGCTACTTTTCAGAGTATCCAGAGTTCATTTTGATTGAAGGGAGGCATGATATATAAGAACTTAGAGTTCCAACCTTGACCGATTAAAGATGCAGACCAGCACACAATATTTCCAAGAGTTCTTTGTCAACTCACCATCAGAATTTCTGAATGAGCTTCACTCTGAGCTTTCATACTATCAAAGAACCAAAGTTATAACTATGTTTGACATTTACCGTATTCGAAAAAGAGTACTCCCTATGTTTGATATTTTGATATCAGCTCAGAGTAAGAGTTATGAAGATATCATCAATATCCATGAAAATATAGTTTTGCAAGCAATACGAGAAGAGCTGAACTTATCAGATGTTACTCAGATGGCAAATGAAAACAAGTACATGTTACGCAATTGTTTTAAGGTCTTCATGAATTCAATGCCCCAGTGACTCGCCTATATAAATCGAGTTGGAATGTAGAGAGCTCATTTCTTGATACAGAACTTTGGTTACGTTTCAAACATGGCACTCTTCAACAACTATGGATTGATTTGTGAAATTAATCCAAATACAAAAGGATACACTCGCTTGACGATCTCAACGAATATACCATTCAAGACAAGATTGATTAAGTTCAATGTTTGGGATACCGTACAGTTAAAGAAACCTGGAAGTACTAGATCCAGTACCGCGATTCCCTTCAAAGTGGGAGAAGAAGTACAAGTGGAATATTCCTACAAGGATGGGTATCCTATACTCGTTAACATGGTTTCATCTCACGTTGACAATTGTCCAATATGCTTTAACTCACTGGAGGGTATTGATACTCAAAGAATGGAGATTGGATGCGATGGATGTCGATTGATACCTGAGGAAGAACACAAGAAAAGAGTGAATACTCAAATGCAGATCGTTTCTAAAACGCTAAAGCAGTATTCAAACAGTGCAGGGTTCAAACTAGAGCTTTTCAGTGAAGTAGATAACAAAGCCTTTGCTCCGGTTATTTTCCCAAATAACTTTGCATACCAGAAACTTGAAAATATGAAAATTGGACACAAATACTGGGTCGTCGGATGGATTGCTCCAAACGGAAAGTTTCTCGATGTAGTTGATATCAATTAGTTGTAATTTTATTGGTTTTATTTTATGTCTTTATGAACTTGTTTTCATTTGTACAAATAAAACAAATTTATTCAAATTATTGAAGAAACAAAATTAAAAGCTACAGAATCATTTTTTTCAAAATCTTGTGAGTAGTCGTTTAAAAAATCTTTATAATCTAACCCTAAACTTAACACATAGATAAAATGAATGCAAAAGTAACCACATGCTTTGCTATTCCAGCCTTGAACTCTATAGTTTGTGTATCTAACAAACTTAAACTTTTTTACAATATCCTTATAATATTTAGGTAGAGTTTTGTGGTCTGGCGATCGTCCAAATGAATCAAAGAAGCATATTGTATCATCTTTTGCAGCCCAAGCACACCAATGTTCTCCATTTTCATCATGCTCCTCAGTGTTTGAAATGAAAGCATAATATGGTTTGGTAGATGTAGGTGAGAAACAAGAAGGGTAAGTACCAATATAGTTTTTGCTAGTAACGCTTGTGTTGAAAAGAATATCGTCAAGTTGCGTTGTGGTAAGAGGTTCAAGCATTATTCAATGATGCGTACAATACGATCGGAATCTATTTGAATTTGTCTGTCAAAGACAGCATAAACAATTAGTATGAGATCTTCTGGAAAAGTCTCTGTTCCGAGATCTATTTCAATGCTGGTACTTGCTTTCTCTTGAAGATTCAGATGACGATCATTTATACTAGATCTATCAGCACCGAAGCTTATTGCAGTCATGAAATTCAAATGAAAGTTGTTCTCATTTATAAGACATGATCCTTGGGTATCCTTACCCAAGGTGCGGTAAAGTTGTCGTAGATACTCACCAAATTCTTTGAATTGGAAGTTATTCTCACCAATTTTTCTGATACTACCAACTTCTAAAGGATCAGCAAAGACTGGAACACCATCACGGTAAAGTTGAAATTTTTTGTAAGGTATCATAATAAAAGGATTTGAGGGCATATGTCCATCAAAGTCACGACTCCTCTGCAACATAAAGAATGCATATGGAGGAAGAATAGAGTTTGCAAAAATATCATTTATTCTAACTATCCTCGATGATTGCGTTACCGGACGTACTATGATTTCAGGTCTAGAAATGAAATATGGAATAGGATCTTTTTTAAGTCTCTCCTCAATCATTTCTAAAATTTCATCCCTTACTCGATAGTAAGTAATGTTAAGAAAACAATCTTCAATAACCAAACTATATCCAGTATCTGCTTTGCACAAAAGCAAGAAATCGTCAGTATTTTTAGTTAGACTCATTCTCAAATTCATATTTGTAGGTAAACATTTTGTAGTGTTTAACAATGGACAGTGAAATTTGGTGTTTAGAGTAACATTTTTTCCTCTATTGAAAAGAGTACTTCTTTTACTGGCAGCTGGATTTGTTTGAGTTGGAACCCAATTATCCACTTGTGACATTTGATTCTGATACTCTATTTCAAGATCATCACCATCTAGATCTGAATTTCCATTCTTAATAAGTAGAAGGGGATTACCCTTTATGACTCACTAATTTCTAGAGGGGATTTCTATAGAGGGAGTACAGTTTATGACTCACTAATTTCTAGAAGAGATTTCAAGAGAGCGAGTACAGTTTATGACTCGCTAATTTCTAGATGAGATTTCTAAAAGAGATTTCTAGAGGAGAGGTTACCAGCTATAACTCACCATTTTATAACCCACTCTTAAAATTTCTCCTTCCAATTAATATTGAAAAAATTTAATACAAAGCTGGTCAACGATGGAATCCCATCGTTTTGTTCAAAAACTTCGAGTTAGTGTTTGAGTTTATCACAACAAAGACAGCTATATTAAGTCTGTTAATTACTGAGGGAGCAAAGCCCTCCCCATTCCCCCCGGCTGCAACGATTGGCCTACCTATCACATGATCCCTCATAACCCCACAGAATGCCACCACTTGCCACTATCGGACAAACTTTTCCATTACCACAGACTCCGATCAATAAGGAACATTGTAAGCTGTTGACACTGACAAGTGATCTTAATTGTTCGCGACCTATCCAAAAACGCTTAATTCGCTGTCCTGACAAACTCTTCTAGGGCTTGATAAACCTGTTAACTTGTTAAAGAGCTGGGCTCGCAAATTAGCGGGTGCCATATTGACATCAATAAAATGGAGGTGAAATACCTAAGTGGGTAATATCGCCGATAACACCTGCCTTAATGTTAACCAATAGTTTGTGAGGGGTAGTGGAGGGAAGTAGGGCTACGTGTCTAATAAGGTCGAAGCTGTTTTGTAGCATAGGATAAAATGTTAAACCATTTGTTTCGTGAAGGAATTTCTTCTAGTTCTAAACTAAATTGTGGGATTATAATGTCGCACTCTCTGATATGCACGTGAGAGCTATTAGAGAAATACTTTTATCGTACCTGGTGTGGTTATTTT